TTGCACACGCACCACTCCCACCATCGGGGCACCATCTCACCTCGTCTGGTAGCCTGACGTTCACTCGCTTGGGAGCTGAGTGCAACGGGCAGGTCGTCTGTTCAACACACCACAGGTGGCAGTACGTGAGTGTGATGCCCTAGCGGAGTAGTGTGCACGCACAAGCACGAGGACACCAGGAGTGTTACCGCTTTCATCTGAAGGCGTGCGTTCCGGTGGACGCTCCAGATTGAGCCTGAGAGGTTGCAGCTGCCGTCTCCTTCCGTCGCCTGTGGTCGGGTGTGCAAGCGCAAGCATAACCGAGGACACAGTGAGATGGTGTGCGTGTGCGTGCGCGTGTGCATGTATGTGTGTAAGTGAAGATGTGAATGCGAAGCAGGAAGAGAGAGCGTGTGTGTGTATGTGCATGCGCGCGAGGATGTGAATGCGAAGGAGAGCGCGTGTCCGTGTGCGTGTGTGTGTGTGTGTGCGTGTGCGTGAGCGCGTGCATGTGTGTGTATGTGTGTGTGTGTGTGTGTGAGAGTGGGTGTGAGCATGAGCGTGTGTCCGTGTGTGAAAGCGAAGGAGAGCGCGTGCGTGTGCGTGCGTGCGTGTGTGTGCGTGTGCGTGAGCGCGTGCATGTGTGTGTATGCGTGTGTATGAGTGATGGTATGAATGCGAAGCAAAAGAGAGAGTGTGTGTGAGTGTGTGAGTGTGTGTGTGTGAGAGTGTGTGTGAGTGTGTGTGTGTGAGTGAGAGAGAGAGAGTGTGTGCGGGTGTGCGTGTGTGTGTGCGTGAGAGTGTGTGTAAGCGTGAGCGCGTGCATGTGAGTGTATGAGTGATGGTATGAATGCGAAGCAAGAGAGGGAGAGAGAGTGTGTGTGTGCGTGAGTGTGCGTGTGTGTGGGTGTGCGTGTGCGTGAGCGCGTGCATGTGTGTGTATGTGTGTGTATGAGTGATGGTATGAATGCGAAGCAAAAGAGAGAGAGTGTGTGTGAGAGAGTGTGTGAGTGTGAGTGAGTGTGTGAGTGTGTGTGTGTGTGAGTGTGAGCATGCGAGTGTGTGAGTGTGTGTGTGTGAGTGTGTGTGAGAGAGCGTGTGAGTGTGTGTGAGTATGAGTGATGGTATGCATGCGAAGCAGGGAGAGAGTGTGTGTATGGTTGCGAGCTCACATGTAAGTGTACAGACGACAAGACGCACGCGCACATGTACACACACACACACACGCACGCAATATACAGAGCACATGAGAGCACTGGCAACGAACCAGGTTGTGGCGCGGCTGCAATGGCTGGAGTCATGTCGCATGAAACAGGTGGGGGTTGGTTGTCGTTCGTCTTCGAGCGCTTGGATGGATTGGTTACGTCGACCATGCACAGGCTTGGCGACTGTTGTTGCTGTTGCTGTTGTTGTTGTGGTTGCTGTTGTTGTTGTGGTTGTTGTGGTTGTTGTGGTTGTTGTTGCTGTTGTTGTTGTGGTTGTTGTTGCTGTTGTTGTTGTTGTTGTTGTTGTTGTTGTTGTTGTTGCTGTTGTTGTTGTTGTTGTTGTTGTTGTTGTTGTTGTTGCTGTTGTTGTTGTGGTTGTTGTTGTTGTTGTGGTTGTGGTGACTGCAGCCCTTGTTGTAGGCCTTGTTGCTGTGGCTGTGGTGACTGCAGCCCTTGTTGCTGTGGTTGTGGTGACTGCAGCCCTTGTTGTAGGCCTTGTTGTTGTGGTTGTGGTGACTGCAGCCCTTGTTGCTGTTGCTGTGGCTGTGGTGGCTGCTGCCCTTGTTGTAGGCCTTGTTGCTGTGGCTGTGGTGGCTGCTGCCCTTGTTGCTGCTGCTGTTGTACGTGGAGAATCTGCCGCCGTTCCTGCTCACGGAGCTGTTGCTGTTGGAAGAGTTGTTGTGCGGTCAGTGCTCTTTCTTGATCTTGCAGCAACTGGCGCTGCTGCTGTTGAACGTACTGGACTTTTTGGCGAGCAAGATCCACCTTGTTGTCGTGTGCTTTTCGGATGTGTGATGCCAAGCCACTAGCAGTGCGGCAATCGCGGTGGCGGGGGCAAATCGTGCACACAGTGAGCGGCAACAATGGGTCGAGACCGTGCGTTTTTCTGTGCAGGTTCAGCGCAGAGAGGTCGGGAAAGGATTTAGTACAGGCCTCGCAGCCATACGGTAAGAGTCCCTCGTGCCGCATTACATGGTTCTGCAATGCACGCTTCGTGTCGAAGCTGCGAGAGCACCTTTGGCAGGAATAACGCTTCTGTTTTTGCTGCTGCTGCTGCTGCTGCTGTTGTTGTTGTTGTTGTTGCTGCTGCTGTTGTTGTTGTTGTTGTTGTTGTTGTTGTTGTTGTTGCTGTTGTTGTTGTTGTTGTTGCTGCTGCTGCTGCTGCTGCTGCTGCTGCAGCATCCTTTGTTGTTGTTGCTTCTGTTGCTTCTCTTGAACGGTCAGCTGCTCCCATCTTTGTTGTCGCTCGTGCCTTTGTTGCGCTCATATTAGTTGTCGCTCGTGCCTTTGTTGCGCTGCCAACTGTAGCTCATGTTGAACTAGCAGCTGCAACCGTTGCCATCGACCGTGCTCGAGCTCATTGTTATCCATAATACCAAGGCCTCCATCAACACTTTCCTCCTGGTGCACCGGTATCGCGAATCCAGGGGC